GGGCCGCCGGCGGGCTCCGCGGCGCGGGAGCTGCAGGCGGCGCTGGGGGTGGAGCCGTGGAGGCTGGCGGAGGTTGGGTGCGGCGGGCTGGAGCAGCTGCTAGCTTTGCCGGTGTTCGAGGGGGCCTTTGAGTGGCAGGAGCGCGGCGGGCGCAAGTGAGTCACGGCGGGCGCGCCGCACGCGCACCTAAGCTTTGGGAGGGGATGGTGCAGTCCTGGGCGGGGGACTCTGCCACAGCCGCCCGGCTCCGCCGCTCCTTGCACGCTCATCGCCTTGGTCCGCGCCACCCAGGCCCCTGCACGCGCCGCTCCAACCTTGGGGCGCCCCCCTCGACCCTTCCCAACACCTCGGCCTTGCTTTATCTCCAAGTCATACCTGGTGCCCCAAACCCCAACCCCTGGACTTTGACCCCCTAAAACCTGACCCCTCCGGCCCCCACTGAACCCTATTACTAGGTACCTGGTCCCCACCTTTGACATGGGCTCAGACCTGTCGTCCCTGCTGGAGGCGAAAATGGATGACGTCGTGGCCAAGCAGCGCGCCGCCGCACAGGACGCTAAGGCAGCCGCGGCAGCAGCAGCCGGCAGCAGCGGCGGCGGCGGCGGCGGCGGCGGCGGTGCGTTTGTGTGGGATCTACCGGTGGTGGAGGGGTACCGGCTGGACGCGGTCAAGCGCGACTTCCACGTAGGTTCCGGGCAGCTTCTCACGCGGGCCGGCCTTCGGGGCGGGGGTCCTTTGTGGCGTTGGCTGCAGGCGGAGAGGTTTGGGGTGCCGCGGCGCCAGGCCGGCCCCTCAACGCACCTCACATCGCTGTTTGGCGTCTCGTTGGGATGCCGAATCGGGGGCCGGGGCGCACGCATTCGGCGGCCCAGCTCGGCGGCACCGCCGAGCGGCCTTCCTGCTCCCCCAACTCGCCCTGTGCTCCCGCACGCCCTGTTCTGCCTCGAATTCCCGACCCTTCGACAGCAACATCCGATGCCATCCGTGTTTGATCTGATCTGACCTGATCTGACCTGATCTGACCTGTCGGCCCCGCAGCTGCTGTACCACTACGAGCTGAGCAACACGGCCCTCGGGGTGCCCGCCTTTAGGCACCTCATAGAGGGATACGGCGACACGGTGAGAGCCAGACTTGCCTCCCCATGGTCACCAGCAGCAGCGGCAGCGGCAGCGGCAGTGGCGGCAGCAGCGGTGCCAGCAGCTGTGGAGTGGCGGCAGCAACGGCAGCAGCAGCAGAGGCGCGGCCAGCAGCAGCGGCGGTGGCGGCACCGCTTGCTGCGGGTGCCCGTCAGAATCCTGCAGACGCACTGCAAGCGCCGCCACGCGCGCGCACGCGGCGCAGCCGCCGTCGCTGCCGATTCAACCCATTTCGGACACAAAGCAGCACGCCATCAGGCCGCGGACCGGCGACCACACTCCATCATAGTGAGGCGGCACCCCCCTATCCCTCCCCCCATTAC